CAGATATGAGAAACAGACAGGAAATGATAGCAGATTTTTTTCACAAGTTGTGATATGGTTTGAGGTACGTAACAATCACTTTGCATCGAGGGTGTCCTACCAGGATTACCTGTAACACACGACTTTAAGGAGTCATTTTAAATGTATTGTGTGGCATCAGTCACATTATTTTAAGGTCACCCGTGATATACGTCGGGTCCTCACTGTGTCTCCAGCACTGAGCACGTGCCTGGCACAGGAGGCTTCCTCTCCGACTGCACCTCTGCTGCTATGCAGACAGCCCACTCCTGATCACACTGCTTCACAAATGGGAAAGCACAGGAAACTCCCAGAGCAGCAGTCCCCAGGAGTTTCCTCCTTCACTTCCCCTCTGTCCATTTAAACATCTGAAATGATAAGATATTTCCATGCCAGTACTGAAACTGAGAGCTCATTCATTTCTCAGATTCCGAAATAACATCCTGAGGTGCGGGTCCCAGAGGTTCCTCTTAAGGACTGATTAGAGTTCATTTCTTTACCTCCCACTGATGATTGCTTGTTTGGATATCACAGATTGCTTAGCACGACTTAGCACCTGTGCTAATTGCTTTCTCTTGTTAGAATCCAATTTTCAACGTGTTGAAATGTTAACTTAAGCCAGTGGTTCTTAGGCCAGCACCAGGTTAGAATCACTTGGGGTCATTTTCAAATGCTCAGGCTCAAACCCCAGGGATTCCAATGTAACTGGACCGAAGTGGGCCCAGGTATCAGGAGGGTTTGTAAGCTTACCAGTGATTGTAATGTACACCGGAACCTCTGACTTACTAGTAAGCCAACAGATATGTGGATTTTGTTTCCCGAACCCAGCATCTAAAGCTCCCCGACACACCACAGTGCAGCCAAGAAAAAGTAAAAACTTAGATAATATTCACCTAAGTCTATCTAAAGCAATCTCAGCTATCAGGGGCACCAACAACAGGAAGGAGTCCAAACCACCACACAAGGTGGTATAAAGTCTATGCAGAAGGGTGATAAGTAGAAAGAGCCCAGATTTGACAATTAAAAACAAAACAAAACAAAAATAGTTCTATTATTTCACTGGTTACATAACATTGAAGAAATTATTCTCTGCATCTCAGTTTTCTCACCTATCGGTGTACATAAAACTTCCCCATGAAGTTGTTAAGCAGATTTAATAAAGGCCCCATGTTAATATGCTTACAAAGAGTTTGTTCATGATTCAACTCCTTTTGAGATTTTACACCACCCTAGGCATGCTATTTTTCTTTTTTGCCACATTCTTGGCATTTGTAGGGTGATTTTAACCAGTTAATCTAAGAGCATTTGCAACTTAATTTTCTATTTCTAATGAGTACTTATCAAATGAGTAGCATGACATGAATGATGTTCTGTATCTCTGTGTGTATCTTAATCTCATGTGCGGATTTTAAATTGGGGGCGGGGGAGGACTATGTCAATAAGAAAGCACTAACCAACAAAACAATTTGACACTTTGAACATTAGTGTCCACTGTTATGGACTGAAGAGATTAATCATTTGGCAAAGTGGCCTGATCCCATGGTTTTATCCCTGAGGCAGCCAGCACCTGGCCAGAGGCCTGCCTGAGCCCAGAGGGTGACCACATAGGGACAGCTGGGTAGGTACAGCCCAGTGTCCAGTGGTAGTGGTCAGGCCCAGGCTCCCAAGAGGCCCAGAGGCCTCTAATTGGGTGAGGCAGACAGTAGTTCCTCACCTCCAACAACCACAACCAAGTTGTAAAATAGCGTGGCTTTATATTCCTCTGTAAACTCATTAAATCTCCATTCTTTTCAAATTCTGCTCAGTTCAGTCCTTTCACAAAGATATGAGATATGCATGATTTTCATAGTCATGAGCTCAGACCTGCAAATACAGCTTTCTCTTTCTAACTGAAGTAAAGTCTATCCCTCGTGTTTCCTGGTAGAAAATTGAATCTGATCACTCTTACATTTTAAGTCAACCACTCCTGTATTCTCTAAATTATGTCAGTATTATATTCAATCAAATTATGGACTTTCCCCTTTCTCTCTTCTCTCTGGGGCTGGGTCTAAGTTGAGTGTTCACACACAGTAAGGTAGTCCCAGTGAGGAAGTGTTTCTGTGGTTGTCCAGAGCTGACACCGCTGATATGTTGCAACCATAATATCTAGTTTTTAGTGCTGTCATGCTCCAAATGAGCTTCCACTCCTCTGGTTCAGACTGGATAACACAGGCCACCACCTACAGCTGCATCCCTGTCATGACCTTTAGAACCCTTTGGATGTCCAGATTTCTCTCTCTGCAAAAATATGCATCCTTATCGGGACATGAGGAAAGTTCAGTCACTATCCCTCATCTCTCTGGGACAATGGGGCAATTAGGATCTGTCAGCAAGCCCTCTCTACCCCTGACACCCCATGGGGTCTTCTCTACTCCACTGCTGAATGGCATGATAGTCTTTACAATTTCCCTCCCTTCTTTTCCCAGATAGGAAAGAGAACACTTATCCTACTGAGGACAGGGTAGATTATGCTGTAGAAATAAATCCAAAAGATCAACAAAATACCATTCCTTACTCAAATAAAATCCATGAGAAGCCCAGAACACTCTCCACATATCTGTCTTTCATGTGTTGGCTCATTCTTCCAGACACAAGATAAGAAGCAGGTTGGATAGTGAAGCACCAGCAATTAGATGCTTGAACACAGAAATGACCCATGCCACTTCCATTAACAGTTTATTGGTGAAGTCTCAAAATCATGGCGCTCTTTGAGGGAGAGGGAAAACAACAATGCCCATGTGCCCAGGCGAATGGGGCCCAAATATTAGTACACTGTAGCAGTGTCTGCTCCAGCTCTGGCTCTCCCAACTGGGGCATTTAATCCAGGGGTCTGTCTTAGAGGCTCTGCCCATTGCTTGGCTCATTACTTGGGAGTAGGCTCAAAATGGGGACTCTGCCCTAAACCCAGTGACTGTTTCTCTTTTTTCAGTTTCCAACCTCCTTCCCTCTCTTCAGTTGGGAGCATCTTTATCTAGTGAGGGAGAGGGGACAGAGAGGAGAGATAAAGGAAAAATATCAAAATATGACTTGAGACTTTTTACTTTAAAAGTTAGGAATTTGAAATGTTTCTCTGTCCTCTTGACAACCTCCATTGTCCTATGAACTCCCTGCCCCACCATGTGCAATGCCAGCCTGACATGTCTCTGACATAGTGAAATGGGGCAGGATCCTGGGATTAAAAGCCAATAGAGGGAGGTGAGTATCAATTAGTACTGCATATATTATCTTTCCACTAGCAACCATGCATTACTCTCCCCTTCTGTAGACCACATGAGTGAGTCTATGAAGGCTGGACAGATAAATCATCCATGTTTCACTTATTATGCACAGATCAGAAAATAGGTCTGGAAAAATGTGTCTGTAAGTGCTGTGATAATTTGTAAAGAGGCCAGAATTACATAAGAATTTTGCTGAAAATGGAAAGGGGTAAATGGAAGCAAAAATAGTCAATGTCAGACTAAGAAGTTCCATACAAAATTTTTAAAGTGATGCGTTCTGAATAGCATAGCACTTGTATGAGATTCTGCCTCAGCAAACCTCACTGCCCAGTCATTTCTTCTTATGATAAAGATGATTCAAGAGATGGGGTACCCTCCATAGGAAGCTATTCATGTTGAAGAATATGTTCATTTAACATATATATATTTAATAGGCCCAGCCAGCATGGCTTAGTGGTTGAATATCGACCCTATGAACCAGGAAGAAGTTCACACGGTTCCATTCCTGGTCAGGACACATGCCCAGGTTGCAGGCTCGATCCCCAATGTGGGGTGTGCAGGAGGCAGCCAATCAATGATTCTCTCTCTATTTAATAGCATTTTAGTTATTACCTCCCTAGACCGCTACTAATTATGAAACTTCAGCTTTCCCCATTATGAAACTTTTACAGGATCATAAGCTCTGAGACTACTGTTCTTAAAGATAGACTCGAAGGGTATGACATCTGTCATATCTGGTCTTTCTTTTTTTATTGCTGCAATTAAAGTATGTAGCAAACAACAACAAAACTTGAGAAGCAGACAACAATAAATGTTCATGCCCACATTCTTGGGGTGTCAGTTAGGGGGCTCTACTGTCTTGGCAGGGAATGCTGACATATCTAGGGTCAGCTGGTTATTGGTGATATAGGCTAGCTTCACCTAGGGTGGTAGGACCCCTCTTCCTCCTCCTGAGACCAGCAGCCGAACCTGGGCGCGTTCAAATGGCATGAAAAGGCAGGAGAGCAAACCCAGTCACACACAGAGCTTCCAAGGCTCTGCTTCCATCACATCTGTTGAGATCCCATGGACCAAAGCACATCACAATACTAAGCCCGGACTCAAGGCCAGTAATGGGAGCAAGGAGAGCTGAAACGTCAGGCCAAGTCATGCTCTTCACCACGTCTGAGATGCTGTCCACCAAGAATGCCTGGGCAGGGCTGGAGAACTGACTGGCCGGGGCACTAGCAAAATGCTGAATGAAACCTGAAGCAGGGACTAGCTTCTGAGAACTCAGGGGGAGAGACTGAGAAAAAGAAACGGGATATGGCACTGAGAATTATGAGCAGAAAGAAGAATTGAAAAACCCTTAAGTATAGAAATTAAAGTATTAAGAATGACTGAGAATGACCAGAGTATATAATTCTTAGCTCTACTTTGGCTGAACACACACTACCTTCTGTTTATGAAGCGCTTCACACAGTGCTCAATGGTCCCTAGAAACAGTCCCTCTGGGCATTGCTACGCGGTTTTAAATGCGGAGTGCTTAGGATTGAAGAGTCAAATGAGGTGCCTAAGACAACAAAACTAGTAAGTGAGAGTCGCCAGATCCGCTCT